TTGCACATGTGTGATGTGCACCCGCTATCAAGGCACCACATCTCTCCGTCATCGCCTTCGACTCGATAAGCTTCGTGCGTCGTCTCTTGCGCCTCTGCATACATGGACACGTTTTCTGCGTTGTCGCCTTGACGGTGCTTTGATTTTCTCGGCTTCGTGCAATTTTTGGATCGGTGTCCAATCGTACCACAGTTGTAACATTTCATCTTCGCGTCCCTCGTCGTGTCTTGGCTCGAATTGGATTTCGTTGATGAGTTCTTCTGTGATTTACGATGTTCCGGCTTTCCAATTGCCAACGCGTTCTATCTTTCGTTTCGAGATGCGTCCTTTCGAGTGTCGCTTTCTTCACCGATTTTAATGCGTAGAATTTCCGTGTTCGGGAGATCGTCGCGTGACGTCATCGCGCACCTGAAATTCTCGTAAGACTCGGGGAGGCTTCTGAGCAAGATTATCGACAATAAATCCGGATCGATTATGACCTCCATTTCGGCGAGCTTGTCGACAATGTCGTGGAACTTACGTGTATGTTCCCGAGCGTCGTCTCCCTCTTGCATCTTTGTCGACATTAACTGATTTATCAACGTGGCCTTACGCGCTGGCGCTTTCGATTGATAAATTTCTTCTAATCTCGTCCAGATCCCCGCTGATGTGTCGCACCCTTTTATTTGCTTCAGTTCGGACGGACCTATTGCTAGAATGAGTGAATGAGCTAAGATGACTGTGCTCTTTGGTCCGCTGCTAACCAAGCCTTCAGTTCGGCCTTCTGTTCCGGCCTCGGTTTTTCGATTGCACCACTCACATATCCCCACGATTCATTTTTTATTAGGACGGCACGCATCTGCATTTTCCAGGTGTCGTAGTTTTCCTTTCCAAGTACTTCAAATCTAACACCGGTGGTGTTCATTTTGCCGTTGTACGTTGGACCTCGTGGTAATCGAGAGAATTATCAACGAAAAAACAAAATGTCGGACGAGGCCGCGAGAACAAAAGGAGCGTAACCTCGCTTTTGTTCTTCTCACTTTGACCGTCCTGGGCCCATAACCTGACGCAATGGTAGGCCGGGAGTGAAAAATAGGTACGCGCTATTTTAGCAAATACAAAACGTTTAATTAGAATAAGAGTTGGATGTACATGGTACTCGGGCGAACGCATGGCACGAATAATGGACTAACGGTCCGCGGCGCGCGCACCAGTGGAAAACCTGGTAACCAGCGCCAAGAGAGCTGCGAACGTACGGATGTCGCTCCGCAAAAGAGACGTATCGCCTTTTTTACCGACAGGGGGAAAGATTCAGGATAATATGGATTTTCATGTTTTATCCAATTTCATACAGTGCTTAGTAAATACTACGTACCATTCACTCCATTCAATGTGCTTATCAACCCTCTTATTAACTCTTTTAGTGCTTTCGGCCTTGCGAGCCCCTTGCTGAAAGAGTAACAAATTGGTTGCTTCGTGATGGCTTTAAACATGAAGACGAGGGTCAATTATACCACCGTCTTCACACACGCCTTCGATGTTATCTTTATCTTGGTTGTACTCAATGTGCGAAGTTACCGATATTTCGTCGAACATCAACCCACAAAATTCCTCCTTTTGTAAGTACAAAGTGTACTTTGCAATGTGCGCGCACGTTTGTACAAAGATTTCGGTCTTGGAGTTAACTTCATACATTTCTAATGCTTTTCGGTGTGGTTTCTTCTTTGTTGTAGTTGTATCCCGGTGTGGTGCCTTGGTCCAGCTGCCTGCTGAATGCGGTATACACGGGATTCATTCCATTTCTTCTCAGCGATTTTACTCGTTTTCCTGTTGTTGTACCCTCTGCTGTTTTAAGTGGTGCGGTTGATCCGTAGTCCTCATCTTCTCTTGGTACCAGGGGCAGACAGATTTGTGTAGGGTTGCGTAAGAGCGCGTCGGCATTTTTATTAATTTTTCCGGCTTTGTGGACTACCTTGTAGTCGTATTCCAGTAATTTGCGTTGTGGTATTCATGGTCGAACTGTTGTCAAATGCTCTTGATGCTGACTTTTTAAGCCAAGGATAGGGGTTGCAGGGCCAGTGGGAGTTAGCCAGTTCCCTCGTCTCCAATGGCTTGCCGAGTTGATTCTTCGATGAATTGTTGTTTTATTTGTATTCACTTGCAGGACAACGTTATGATTGCTCGTCTTGCCTATTATTTTATATGGTCCAATATAGTGCGGGTCAAATTTATGCGTGTTCGCGATATAGACCGCGAATCCGCAAGAAGGCTTCATCTCGATGCGGTCGTCCGTTGTTCGTACAGTCAGTGTCTTCCATCCATGTACCGTCCAGTGGAAAGAATGAAAGAAAACTAGGGACTTTCCAACAAAATCTCAGGTCACTATACTGGCTCTTACGTTCTTTTGGCTTTACGACCGTCGCTTCAACCACTATGTTCTCTACACTGTCTACTATACCTCTCTATAATCATGATATTCATATCTGCTAAAACTGCCTGAAACAGCTTATGATCTTTGAAATATCTGTGTTTGAGAAAGAACCTTTAGGCGCACGCACATGAAAGCTCTAGGGTAAAGGCGCACTAGATGGAAACTTTAGAATCATCGCGATCGATGCGAGGATCGATCGCACTAATCACGATGAGTCACGTCAATGCGCACCACGCGCTACTAATATCGATTGCGCAGGAAGAAGGATCAGCCATTTATCACGGCCAACGATCCTTACTGCTCATTAAGGTTTTACTCAGTGCGGACGTGTTCGGATTTACTCTCGAATCTCTTGTACTCGCGATCCTGTTACACTCACTCTTCTTGAGTTATCGCTAAGGGACAATCGAACTCAAATTCCGTGTGATTAATATAATTTCACGGGCCGAGTTTCTGTGAATCTCGGTAATTTAAATCACACTCTTGTGTAACGGTTACGATCAATAATATCGTGATCATCATCGGAACAATCACGTGAATCAATCACGTTTGGTAAAACTCGGGTTAAACTCTGCGACGCGTGTTCACTCATTATATTTAATCAACCGACTTCTGTAAATGTGATTTCCTTTTATATATTAAACGCGCTTTAAACATCACAACGTGCTCAATTATTTTATCGCGAACTCACAACATCCTATCCGGAAATCAGCAATTAAACTCGGCACATCTCAAACAATTGGAATTCATGAAAGGATACATTCACCTTCACAACCAAGTCAGAATCAACCTCATCCTCGATAACTCCTACCAAACGCCTCGTATTATCACATGTTGCCAGAATCTTTGATCCATTTGGTTTTTTATCACCTGTCATAATTCGAACAAAGATGCTGTTACAGGAATTATGGCTACTCAAGATCAATTGGGATGAACCGCTGCCATCTTATATTGAAACTCGTTGGAAGTCTCTCAGAGAAGATCTTACTAGACTGGCCAGTCTCTCAATCCCTCGATGGTTTAATACGCATCAGGACTCCATCATTGAACTTCATGGCTTCTCTGACGCATCAACTCTCGCCATGGTGGCAGTAATTTATATTACTGTGATTTCACCGTTCACAAAACTCAGTGTGGCCACACTGGTGTGCTCGAAGACTAGAGTCGCACCCCTCAAGAAGCTCACCATCCCGAGAATGGAACTTGGCGCAGCTGTACTGTTAGCCAAGCTCATGCACTATGTTCAAGCGAGAATCAAGCTCAACGTGAAGAACATTCATTTGTGGACGGACTCACAAGTGACACTCGTCTGGATCAAATCTCATCCCTCACGCTGGAAGGACTATGTAAGAAATCGAGTTACATCCATCCAGGAGCTCACAGCTGGTGCACATTGGAGATATGTGCCTGGAGCATCAAACCCAGCTGATTGCGCATCACGAGGCTTAAGCACTCATCAGCTTGAACATCACGATCTGTGGTGGACGGGACCACCATGGATGACAGAGCCCAGTCAATCATGGCCGGCACAACCAACACTCTGTGAAGATTCATGTGCTCCAGAAGCTCGTCCTGGAGCCACTCAAGTGTTTAAAGCTCAAACACTCGACTATCACTGGGATCTGATATACAAATATTCAACTTTGAAACGACTTATTCATATCACAGCACTCTGTTTCAGAATCATCGCGAGGATGAGGCGACTGAATGTCAAATCATTGCACGCTCCATTTTACACTCCAGATGACTTGGAACTCGCACGGATATTTTGGATAAAAGCTACGCAATCCGCATATCTGCCTCATGAACTGAAGATGCTCAGTTCAGACGCCAAGTTGCCCTCGTCCCATGTTCTCAGCCGACTAACTGCCTTTTTGGACGAACATGGAGTCATTCGAGTTGGAGGACGCTTGGAGAATTCACAACTCTCTTACGATGGTAAGCACCCTGCCATCCTACCTCGCCA